GTGCTCACACCCTGCTCACACTCTGTGCTCACACCCTGCACACACACACTGTGCTCACACCCTGCTCACACCCTGTGCTCACACCCTGCACACACCCTGCACACACTCTGTGCTCATACTCTGTGCTCACACCCTGCACTTTCCCTGTCCCCCTGTGCCACCAACCCCAAATCCATGGAAGCCAGCCCCAGCCCCATCCCCATCTCACAGCACCCCTTCTCCCTTAGGGAGCCTTTGGCACAGGTAAGGAGAAGAACACAGAGCACAGAGCCCAAGATTCACCCTTTAATCAGGCCAAAGGCTGAAGATTTGTGGTTCTGTAGAGACTGCAGATTTGGGTCTCTTGTGGTTATGATGAGAGGCAAGTTCTAGATGCCAAGTTCAGATTTAAAAATCAAACTTGGTGTTTTGCATATCTGAGCATTAAAATACACACTTGTATATTTGCATTCGCTTCCTCTGTTACATTCATAAAATACAAATCACAGGGTCACAGAATGATTTAGGCTGGAAGGCACCATGAAGATAATCTCTTTCCAACCCTCTGCCATAAGCAGAGAGGGACACCTGCCACTGTCACAGGCTGCCCCAAGTCCCTTCCAGCCTGGCCTTGAGCACTTCCAGGGATGGAGCATCCACAGCTTCTCTGGGCACCCTCACCAATGCCTCACCACCAAAATTAGGAAGGATTTCTTCCTAATACCTAACCTAAACCTGCCCTCTGTCATTTTAAAACCATCATCACTCCAAGCCCTTGTCAAATTCTCTCTCCAACTCTCTTGTAGCCTCTTTAGGTTCTCCAAAGTGCTTTAAGCTCTCCCTAAAGCTTTTCCTTCTCCACACTGAACGAGCCCAACTCTTTCACATAGCAAAGGTGCTCTGGTCCATTTAAAACCCATCCCAGTGCACTGAGGAGCCTTTGAGGGACCCACAGATCCAGTAAGGGCCTGAGCCAAAGTGCACGGAGCCCCAAAGGCAGACCCACCTGGAACAGGGCTCTCATGGGATCTTGGAGATCAGTTTCACACCCAAGGTAGCTCAGCTACCTCAGAAGGCATCAAATCAGCAGGATGGCTCCGGTGGCAGTGTTGGAAACAAAAAGTTTTCAATAAAAGGCAAAATAACAAAACTCTTTACAGAAAAAAACTGAGCCAGGTGCAAGAGGTCCTTGCCCCTGGTAAAACACCTCACAAAAGTTTCTTTATTCTCTTCTTTTTCTATTTTGCTCAAGCAAGATTTTTTGGCTCCTATTCAATTTACTATCCTTAAGTTTGAAGTCCCCCAAGTCCTATGAGATATCTTTTCACCTAATTGAGGAAATAAACTTTTAGGCTTATTTCCTTTCTAAGGGGACAAAGGACAGTTTTGTCACTCTGTTAGCAAAGGGCACATTCCTGTACCCAGTCCTGGTGCCCTGCAGGGGGTTGGCACAGCAGCCTGGCCCCTGCTCTGCCCTTTTTGTTTGTTTTTTATTAGAAGTTTTGTGTGTTGTTTATATTTTAGATTTAGTGTATCAAGAGAATGAATTAAAAGTTATAGAGATATAAGTGGTTTTAAAGTTATTTTGTTTAATTAATTTTTAAAATGTATTTTATTTTAATTTTTATTAATAATTAATGATTTTTGTTTATATATGTCATATTTGTATTGTGTTTTTTAAAATTAATTATTTTGTGCTTTTAATTTTGTAGAAAATGGAGTAGATGAAGAATAAGAAGGATATTAGATAATGTTCAAAAAATTTTATTTTGTTTTAATTTATACATTTATTTATATATTTATTAATTTATGAATTATTAATTCATTGACTTATTAACATTATAAATTATTAGTTTATAAATAAATCTATAACTTATTACTTTATTGCTTGTTAATTTTATATATTTTGATTTTTATATTTTATATGAAAAATTGATTTTTTAATTTTTGTCATATATATAATATATATAATAGATATAATATGTTATGTTATTATTTACTTTATATATTTGTAGATTTTAATTTATTTTAAAGTTTTGGAAGTTTTTTTAATGGATGAAGGTTAAAAGTAGTGGGGTTTTTTGGAATTAGGGTATTTTAGGATAGGTAGAGAAATATCTTTTATGTTTTCCTTGCTGCTTGCTCTTTTATTACATAATAATAATATAAAAATATTATAATATAATAAAATTATATCATAATGAAATACTATTCCATAATAATGAAATAGTATAATGAAATGATATTCCATAATAATGAAATAAAATTATATAATATTGAAATAGTATTCTGTAATACTGAGCTAATATTCTATAATAATTAAATAAAATTATATAATAATGAAATAGTATTCTATAATAATGAAATAGTATTCCATAATAATGAAATAATATTCTATAATAATGAAATAATATTCCATAAAAATGAAATGCTGTTCTATAATAATGAAATAAAAATTATATAATATTGAAATAATATTCGATAAGAATGATCCAATATTTCATAATAATGAACTAGTATTCTGTAATAATGAACTAATATTGTATAATAATGAACTAATATTCCATAATAATGAAATAAAATATATAATATCGAAATAGCATTGTGTAATACTGAACTAATATTCTATAATAATGAAATAAAATTATATAATAATGGAGTAGTATTCCATAATAATGAACTAGTATTCCATAATAATGAAAGAGTATTCTATAATAATGAACTAAAATGAAATAATATTCTATAATAATGAAATAGTATTCTCTTATAATGAAATAGTATTCTATAATAATGAAATAAAATTCTATAATAATGAATAGTATTCTATAATAATGAAATAGTATTCCATAAGAATGAAATAATATTCTTAATTAATAATGAATTAATATTCTATAATAATGAAATAATATTCTATAATAATGAAATAATATTCTATAAAAATGAAATAGTATTCTATAACAATGAAATAAAATTCTGTAATATTGAAATAGTATTCCATAATAACGAACTAATATTCCATAATAATGAAGTAACAGTCTATAATAATGAACTAGTATTCCATAATACTGAACTAATATTCCATGTTAATGCCATACCCCGAGCCCATGGGGGCTGGCTGGCAGCAGCTCTGTGCCCAGGCTCCTGCAGTGCCCTTGGCGCTGCTTTGTCCCTGCAGGGACTGAAAGGTCCTGGCAGGGCAATGAAAGGGCAGCAGCAGTAGGGAGGTGCCACCCGGTGCCCTAACGAGGATTTTTCTGCTCTGCTTTCCAGCCCCAGAGCGACAAAGTGCTGTGGACCCACATCCGATACTCAGGTGGGTGTTGGGGGGACCCTGGGGGACCCTGGATGATCCCAGTGCAGCACCCACATCCCCGGCACACTGGGAAGGATCCCCACCCTCCCACGGTCCCCAGGGACCTCCGTGGTATCCTGTGGCCCCCAAAACACCCAAATGGCTCTCAGGTGCCACAGTGCTGGCTGTTTCTCTGAGAGCTGTCAGGGGACAGGGGCCAAGCCCGCCCCACGGCTGTGAGGGGACAAAATCAAACAGTTGGGTTTTCCCAGAGCAGGACAACAAAAGCTGAAAATCTGCATGGATCCCTGCAGCCCTCACCTGCCTCCCAGACCGCTCTTTCGCTCTGTGAATGAACAAGAAAGTAATTTTTGACAATTTGCTGAATGCACGCAGCACGCTCTTGGGTTTTTCTAAAGCAAGTCAATGGTTTCCTGATTTATGAAAAATGTAAATGATTTCCTCAGGAGGAGTGGGTGAGAGCACACACCGTATCAGATGTGCTGCTCTGCGTGCCAGCCACGCTGGGGCTTTGTCTGGTGTCACACCTCAGAGATAAAACCAATCAGTAATACTTTTTAAATAATACTGAAAATATTATCGACGGTTTCGCTTTCAGCTAAAAGCGCAAGGCAGCAGGGAGCCCGGCCTAATAGAAACTCATGTCCTTTGGAAGGAAAAGCTTGAGAATTGGTCCCCAGCCCAGAGGGGCTGTGCTCCCTGCCTGCAGAGCCCCTGGGTGCCCCAGGGGTTTCAGCTGCTGCGCTGAGAGAACAGGACTGCGGCACAGAGATGGGAACCGCGGCTCTCCGTTCCACCTAAAAACCTTTCTTGCCAAGTTCCTGTTTGATTTCTCCTTTTTCTGCTCTGTATTAATTAGTTCCTTCTGCTTCTGTCTCTTTGCTGCTCTTTTGTCTTGTCTTCTAGAAAAAAAACCCAAACAAAAGAACAAAAACCCACAACAAACCCTAAGACAAAGGCTTATGTTACCAGCATCTCAACAAAAAGCACTTTTTGGCATCCAGCTCTGGGTGCCTTTTCCTCATCTTATTTACTGTCTTAATTGTCCTGTTCTTTTTATGAACCTGGTCTTTCTAAACTCACAGTGATGCTTTACTTGCTGTATTTTTCTGTATTCTAAGACACAGAGTAAGTAAATTGTGCATAAATAAAAATTTGGAGGAGCAATCCACATAAACCATGTGCCAAAAGGCACAGCTTGGTCAAGAGTGGTCAGCTGTAAATTTCCATGGTGGATGATGTCTGGCCATGGTAGATAATATTCTAACTCTGGTTTGTTGGATTAAGCTTTTTTTTGACTTAAAGATGGAGTAAATGACAGGTGTTTTAAAAACTTTTATTTTATTTTTAGTCTTATGTGAAGGATGAGACAATACAGACGTTATAATTTCTGTTATTATAATTAAAACCTAATTATTTCTTAATTACAATATATTACATGTTTCTTGGTTTATTAGTTTTTGTTACACTATGTTGTAAATGCTTTAAAGTTAATAACCTAAAATTACTCTTTGTGGGTTTTACTACAATGTATTTTTCATAGTTTTATTCCTCTAAAGCATTTAGTCTTATTTGGAAGGCTATCTTTTGAAACTTGTTTCTAGTTTTATTTCTTTCTCAACAATGTTTCTCTTATTCTATGGTATTTCTAAATTAGTATTTTTTATTTCAGACTTTGTATGCAGATGTATGCTATGTGAGTCTCTTGTTAGGCTTTGAGAATTCTCTACAAATCCATTTCTCACATTGATCTGCCGTGTTCTCTGTTTTACTCTCCCCCTTTTTTTTTTAAATATTTTTCCATCTTCTCTGCAGTCAGGAGGTGTGAACTGTGAAAAATGCCAATCACTTGTTTTTAAAATTTTTAAAAGTTTAATAGTAAAAATAGAGTAATAAAACTTTGGACAATTTGGATTAAGACAATATGAGACAATAAGAGCAAAGAGTTAAGGACAGTCTGGGTACCTCTATCTGGGCAAAATAAGCCCAAAAAAGGACCCATGTTAACAGAGGATTAAAAGCAACAGACTCTTGCATATTCATACATCTCATCCATGATGCATAAATTCCATTCTAACAGAGGATTCTGTCTGGGCAGTGTCAGCTTCTTCCTCTGAATCCTGACGGTGTCATCCTGCCCAAGCAAGGTGGGAAGAATTTAATTTCTTCTGATAATGGAGCAATAAATTCTCTTTCTCTGAAAGATTCAGGTGTCCTGTGGCTGCTATCTTGGTGGGAATCCTTTCTTTAGAAAAAGTATCTTCCATAGCATAGTTTCTATTTTAACATTTTGTTATAACCTAACACTATATTTAACAGACTACTTAAGAGAATTAATACACCATGACTTTTTAACACAACACATATCATATTCATCTTGATATTTGTGAAAAGCCAATCATAAAATACGCATTTTTGACATAAACCAGTCCATTTCCTAGTAGCCATTTGTCCCCAGGGCATCACCTCTGCCTCCTTGAATTGCAGGCAGGACCACCAGGGGAGCAGCCGTGAACCTCTCAGCAGAATCGGGGCCCATCCAGATCCGGAACGGCTCCGTCCTTGTCCCTTGTGACGGCCTCTACCTGCTGTCCCTCAGGGGCACCGTCATCCTGGAGAAGGAGGAGAACTGGCTGAACCTGACCCTGCAGGGCAGCAGCAGCGTCCTGTGGGAGCAGATTGTGCAGGGCAGCGAGAGCACAGTGAACCTCACCACGGTGCTCTACCTGTTTGAGCAGAACAGCATCACGCTGTGGACCAGCTCCAACGCCACCCTCTGGGACCTGACCCTCAGCCTGGTGTTAGTGGCTGACAGCAAGTCCTAGCTGCAGGGCTGGAGCAGCATGGAAAGCACGGCCTTCCCCACCGAGACTTGTATGGGCAGACTGCTCTAGAGCCCTCCCTGGGCTGGGAGTGCAGATGGACCACAGGGAATGCAGATGGACCACAGGCTTTATTTAGTGCAAGACTCGCCTCTTTGGAGCTCTGTGCAGCTGAGTTGCTACCCAGGATGGAGCTACCCAACACTGGGGAAAGGGATGCGTGGAGCTCTTGAGAAGAACAGAAATGAAAGCCAAAGAAAGTCACTCAAGCTTAGCTCATATTCAGAGAAACCCCAGGATTCTCTATTTACTTGACAAGTGTCTGTATATAGTAGAAATGTGTTGTTTTTTTTTCTCAAATAAAAGTCTGGTGAGTCAGGAAGATACCTCAAGTGTCTTGAAGCCACTTGGAGCAGGAGGAGCACAAATCTGCCTGGCAAGATGGAAGCAGGGAAGAGGCAGCAGGGAATGCCTTTGGAGTGAGCCAGATGAGAGGAAGGGCTGTGAAAGAAGGTGGAGTGTGGAAATGAGCTGACAGGACGGCCCTGGGCAGCAGGAGCACTGACTGTGGAGTTTTGGGGAGCAGCCTTTGAGAGCAGAGCTGTTCCAGCTGTCTGCAGGCTGCTGAAGCCTGAGCCCAAGGAATATCTGCTGCAAGGCCTCACAGGAAAATGTCCTTCAAGCACACACACACACACTGGCTTGACCCAAAAGTGATCCAGGCACATAAAATTTGGGCAAACATGAAGACTGCTGGATGTGGTGACCTCTCTCTGACAGACCAGGTGGAAGCTGCAGGTGTGAGCATCCTTTCCTCAGGGAGCACCCTGATGGTTCTCATGGCTTTGTCCCACAGGTGTGCACCAGAGATTGCCAGGCACAGCCTCCACGGGGCACCAGGCACACCTCAGAGACCTTGGGCTGCTCATCCCTGCTCATCCAGCTCAGACAGGCCCTGCCCATGCTTCAGGCAGCCTCTGAGCCCAGCACAGCCAGCCTGGGGGGTTTTTGCTTGCAGCAAGGCAGATTTTAACCACCTGTCAGGTTTTGACTTGGTGTCTCCCAAAGAACTCAGATTTTAACCACCTGTCAGGTTGTGACTTGGTGTCTCCCAAAGAACTCAGATTTTAACCACCTGTCAGGTTTTGACTTGGTGTCTCCCAAAGAACTCCACCAACATTTCAGTGTGTCGCTGCTGGCTGCACACCCCAAGGTCTTTTGTCAGAAGTATTTATGTATTTAAATGATGGGCATAAGAATGTTACATCAGATTGCTTAGAAACACTGAGAAGGGCTCAGACCAGGCTGTCAGCACTGAACTCCTCTTTGAAAATGCTCCCAATGCTCTGGGCTGGTCCTGCTTTGCAGACCCAGACCTGGACTGACACACTCATGCTGAGCACTCCAGCAGACTCAGGTGCCACAGGCAGCTAAGGACATGCTCCAGGCCTTGGAGAGCTTTCCTGGCCTTTAGGATGAGGAGCTTCCCACCTGGGCCAGGCCAGGGCCTCAGGGGAAGCTGGCTGAAGCACTCAACTCATGCAGCATCTTCTCTCCTCTCACTGAGAAGCTGTGGCTGAATTGCACTCACAGGATGCTCATCATCAAGGGATATTTTGGGTTTTTAACTGGCCACGCTCACCACCACGGGGACTGAAGGCAGCTGCACTCTGCCCTGAGGCTGGGGATTGTCACACTCCCCAGCAGAACTGAGAATATGTTTCTCTTCCTAAAAATAATAAATTTTTCCTTTGCAACATTTGGGTTTGTGGTGTCCCTTGGAGGTGGTGGCTGGGGGAGGAGGAGGTTGGAAGTGCCTGGTGAATGATGCATTCAGTGTTTGAGCAGACACTTCCTGGGCTATGGAAACTGTATGAAATTTTCACATACTTCCTTTTTTTACAGTTCAGCTTTTGTTTCAGCTCTCCAGGAGGGTGTGCAGGGCTGATGCTAACACAGGGCAGGCCATGCCAGTGGTGTGTGCAGGGCTGGACAGCACAGCAAGAAAGATGAAGCCTGGAGAGCACAAATGGATTTTTTCTCTGGAAGGCTGCACCCTTTCTTCTTGTTTAGAGCAGGAGAGGGCATTTCTCTCACTGATCCCACTGACCTGCATCTATACATACACCTGCACTTGCCCTGAAATAAAGGTTGGAATGATTCAACTCCCAACATTGATTGCTAGATGGACTGGCTGTCCTCATCAGTAAGTTTCCAAGCCCTCAGCTTTTGTTTGTATCCAGAGACCCCTTTCTTCCACCAGGTTAAAAGTCTCTTTTGTTGGATTTGTGTTGCTGAAATGGCTCCTGAGGTGTTAAAGAGTCTTTTTTTCCCAGCCCCATGCTTGAAGGAGAAGTTGAGATTCCTCAGCTCTGGTTTTCAAGGTTGTTTATTTTCTCTGATCTGTTCCATTCTTTCTCTGACCTGCTGAGATCTGTCCAGCAGGTCGGGTTGTGGCACAGTCCCTGCCCTTGGGGTGGTGTCACCTTTTTATACTAAGAACTACATGTGCTTTATTTACAATAATTTTCCAATATCTATCACCTATGTTAGACAGTCTGTCTCTACTCTAAACCAATCCAGAATTGTCACCATCCCAGCAGAAGATGGAGGACAAGAAGGAGAAGAAGAACAGGACACTCCCAGATTCCTCCATCTTGCCTCTTGAACCCCCATTCTAAATCCCCAAAATTCTACTTTTTCACCCTGTGACAAATTCACTATCATTCTACTCAAACTCTTGTGGCTTCTAACTCTTCACACAGAGTTAGTAATTGTTTCCATGGGCTAAAATCAAAGGCACAGGTGTTTGTGACTCTGTGCCAGGGTCTCTGAGCTCCTTGCCAGGGGCAGCCAGAGGAATGCCCTGGGTTCCAACACTCTTTGATATGAGAAACATCCATTTTTGTTGCTGGGGTTGTTAGGACCTTGCAGGAGCTCACAGATGGTGCTTGAGTCTCACCTTACAGCTCTGCTCAGCCAGGCCAGCGCCCCCAGGACATCCTGAAGCCAGGGCTGTGGAAGTGCAGGGCAGCTCCTGGAGACAATCCCTGACTACAGAGGGGCAGCACATTCATTTTCCTGTGCTTACAGTCACGGAAAGGGGGTTTGTGGTGTGTCCTCTGTGACAGATGAGTAATACAATTAACAGACAAATATCAGGTCTATAGGTTAAGAAAAATTTTACAGATTCTTAATTCTGTTTTACCACCTTGTGTTGTCATCAAGAGACAGCTGAAGTTGGGACATTTGGGAGGGACATCTTGTCACTGTGGCAGCAACCGACCTCCAGTCAAGGTTTAAGGAATTGATTTCCACCACTGGACAGCAAAGAAGGGGTCAATGGACAGAACTTTGGGAGGGGCTGAAGGGTTAAAAGGCGATACCTCCATTGTGAGGGTGAGCACATGGTGGGAAAAATTCTGTCATATTTTCTCTATTCGGTCTTCTGTTGTATTTTTGATAAGGTTTAATAAACCTTTTGTGAAAAATGCCAATCACTCGTTTTTAAAATTTTAAAAGTTTAATAGTAATGAAATGGTTATAAAAATAGTAATATAATTAGAGTAAGAAAAATTTGGACAATTTGGATTAGGATAATGTGAGAAAATAAAAACAAAGAGTTATGGACAGTCCAGGTATCTTTTCTGGGTAGCATAAGCCCAAAACAGGACTCACATTAACAGAGGATTAACCCTTAAAAGGAACAGCCTGTTGCATATTCATACACCTCATACATGATGCATAAATTCCATTCAAACACAGAATTCTGGCTGGGCAGTGTCAGCTTCTCCCTCTGGATCCTAATGGTGTCTTCTTCTGATAATGGGGTAATAAATTCTCTTTCTCTGAAAATTCAGGTCTCCTGTGGCTGCTATCTCACTGTGAGTCCTTTCTTTAAAGAAAATATCTTCCATACCATAGTGTCTATTTTAACATTATGTTAAAACCTAAAACTATATTTAACACACTACTTAAGAAAATTAATACTAACTTAATACTAACTAAGCATAAATTTCTGACATAACACATACAATATTTATTTTAATATTTGCAAAAAGCCAATGATAAACTGGGCATTTTTCACATTTCCCATCTCTCCTGGCTGACGTTAAGGGTGACACAGCTGATGTGAGAGCCACGGCCAGCCCTGGGGGAGAAGGAGCTGCGGAAGGTGAGGCAGAGCAGGATGGGATGGAGGCTGCCTCTCCCCACACCAGAAATGAGGGGAAACATTCGCAGTCCATTTCCACCAGTGTGCCAATGACCTAATTTTCTACCACGCAGGCTATCAGTAATAATGGCTAATGAGCCATTTAATCAGCCAGTGTGAGTCACAGCCTGTCAGCTGCACTGCAGAGAAGGAGAAAACCATGGTGTGCTTGGCAAAGTGCAGCCGGTGCTGCTGCTCTGGAGCCAGCACTGTGCAGCTCAGGCAGCAGAAAGCACAGGAATCTCATTTCCTTACTCAACAATCAAAATGGGAAAGTATGACAGAGACTCGAGCAGCTTCCTGCAGTAACTAGTTGGGAGGGTTTGACTTTTGAGAATTTTCTCAGCACCATCTCAAACTTCAGAGCTGATCTCTGAGCTGGCAGTTGGTTCCTGTTCTCCAAGAGATCCAGACCAGCCCTAGAGATTCTTGCTTCCAGCTATGGGGCAATAATCCACCAAAATAAGCAAACTGAGCAACACGCACACACTGAGGGCTGGGAGGAGTTGGTGACAGGCCAGAAAAGAACAGTGGTGAGCATAGCAGGATTTATCTGGTGAGCATAGCAGGATTTATCTGCAGCCTTCTGTGCCCTAAGGCCAGGGAGGATCTGGAGGCTCTTTGCTCATATTCCAAGTGGATGAGGAAGGCTGCTGAAGGCTCAGTTCTCCAAGCAAATGAGTAAATCTGTTAAGGGCTATAGAGCCAAGCAAGCAGAGTGGAGGCTGGGGGCACATCTCCCCATGGAGACGCCAGCAAGGCAAATTTCTGGCAGCTGTTCATCATCCCA